GAACTAATTTTTTTGTGGGCAGAGCTTTTGTAGTACCGCGTTTTGCCGCTATGAGCGCATAGAGCTAACATTCCTGAGTCGATAAGCCGACTACCGTTGCTTCAGAAGGTAAGGATTAGTTTCAGCAGAGTTTAGAGTGACAAATGTTTGGTGTGATCATCGTTTTTGAAATGGCCCGAACACATGAAAATGTTGAAAAAATTCGTAAAATCATCAAGGAAGATCAACGACGGACCATTGAAAGAAATTGTGGAGTTGTCAGGAGTGACTTGGAGCTCAGTTCAGCGAATTTTGACAGAAGATTTGGGAATGAAAAGGGTGGCTGCAAAATTCGTGCCACAACTGCTGACTGCTGAACAAAAACAAGGTCGCGTGGAAGCATGCTGTGTTTTGAAAGAAGAGTTCTGAAATGATCAAAACTTTTTTTTCAGCGTTTTGCTGATGTTGCTGAGGTGAAGGAAAAAAACGACGGAGGTGCTGTCAAGCATCTCAAAAGATGAATTTAGACAATGTTTTGAAAAATGGAATAAAAGACTAGACAAGTGTATTAGTGTAAGTGGAGAGTACTTTGAAGGGGATTGAAGGTTTGTGCTTAAAATTTGAATAAATAAGTTTAAAAAAAATAAGTTCGGTTTCTTTTGGGTACCCCCTCGTATATATCTCAATGCATACAGGATACAATGCACCCTGTGAAATCCACATGCCAAAGTCTCCTGCAATGGTATGAAATAAAGTTTATGTAGGGGCTATATCTATTGAAGCCATGCAAACAATATAAATACCAATTTGGTGGCATGAATTCAACTCACGCAAAATGAAGGTTATAGAGGATTATTGGCCCTACAGTCTGATTCATGCCTTGACCGCTTGTAATCATAGGATAACACATATAAACACAAACATCTATGTCCTAAGAACTTGCGATTCTTGCGTTCAGGCAGACCAAGATTACAATTTATATATACATACAGAACACTTCAATCACAAGAATATTACATATCCAGTAACAATCTCTACATGCCACCTTGCATTTGTATAATATTTGAATTCTGACAAACAACTGTTAATCCTTCTGTTGCGGTAGCCTACATGGTCTATGCCTCACCGCATAACAACAATGAAGACAGAAAGCCACAGGTCATGTTGGGAACTTTCATTCCTTCCCATTTGATGACACTACTGTCCTTTGTCTGATTTTGTTATGGTAAGTTTATTTGTCGACACTTTGCTTTTTAGGTCTCTTATTGGCTTCCATTCTTTTCTGTTCATTCTATTATTCATGCTATTTTTAGTGTCTTGGGTGATTTGTATGATTGCTTTTGCTACTGCATGTCTATAATACTGTAAATTATATTTTAAACCTTCACTTAGTAGTTGTATTTGTTCTTGTGTGAACTACCTCTCTGTGGTATTTATTACTCTAGGGTAGTTTCTGTTCTTATTTATTGTATTGGTTCTTTGGGGCTTAGTAGGTTGTGTATTTTTTTTTGTACCTTTTTGAGTATTTCTTTCATTTGTCATTGTAACTTTTGGTTTGCTGACTTTTCTAGGTCAGTCCATGTGTGTTGCCTATTATTTGGATTTTGTATGCATGTGTGGTATAGTCCTATGTTGGGTTGTGGTTTCTTTTTGTATAAAAATATTATTTCATTTTTTTACTCTTAATGTTTGTGCTTGGGTTTGTGTTTCTTTTTTGGCTGCAGTGTTATGTGTTTGTAATTTAATGTGTGCATAGTTTGGAATTATCCTCATTTTTAGGCATGTTCTGTTGAATTTTGTATTTGCGTTGCAGCATAACAATTTTCTTTTACAGTTTAAAAAGTTATAAATGCTTTTAGTTTGACTACTGTTCATGATATACTGCAGAATCCTAATGCACTATGCATTCTAAGTTAGTAATCGTCCTTCTTACCATCCATGGGCAACTTTGCTGATGTATTAACATTTGGGGCAGCAGTTTCCTCTACAACTTGCACACCTGATGATGGGCAGTTGGGCAGAAACATGTAATGTTTGAAGAACAGCAAGAGAAAAATGCTTTTGAAATGTGAATTTTAATAAATTGATGAAGCTGCACAGTGACAGTGTGAAGTGGGAGAACTAAGAGTGCAACAGGATTTTGCAGTATATTATTTCAGTATGTACTTGCTATACCAGATGTTATAAAAATGTTATGGGGTTCTAAATGTGAAACCTGTGGAGGAAAAGACAAAAAACTTTCATAAAGAATGCAAAGGAATATTTTATTTCCACTGAACATTATATGTACAGCCTGCTGCTCATAGTTTTGTCACATAATACTATGGAATATTTAATAACTTTGCTTGCTAACATATTTTTAGTCTGTTTTTTCCTGTTTGGAAAACGTGTTTATGTCAACAATCCAATAGTGTACATGACACAGAATTGGATAATCAACATTATTTCATCTTCTAATGTTTACTAATTAAAACAAAGTTTCAATAAGAATTAATGACATATATTTTCCCTTAATTTTGACAAAGAGGCTAGCAGATATTACAAACAAACCAATAAATATGTAACTTATATTTTATATCTGTTGGCACAGATTTCTGTAATGTGAGACTTTTTATATCATCTAATAACCATCAGTTACAGAATGAGTGCATTTTACCACGGATACAGCTGTGATATCTGCAGACCCATCACCATAATCATAACAGCCTACCACTGGACATGGCCATCCCAGTTAAATCTAATTTGCATCTTCACAACATCTCTCTCCAAAATTAATTTTCATGTTATTCTCAGTATGTCTAAATACAGTATAGAACCTACCACAGGATGTGTGCCGTGTAGGATATAGGATAGGATGTGGTGACTTGAACCACAACTTCCCATTCTTGTTGACATAATAAGATACTTACCTCTATCTGCATCTGTGTACACCGTGTGATATTCTCTTAACAATTTTTTCTTCAAGAGTAAGAGTTGCTTGATCGACAGGACTGGAGCACTGTCGAGACTTAACATGTATTGACTTTGCGCCCATGTTCCGACAATATTCAAAATAAATTGAAGTTACGTGTCACAGGTGTAACTGTACGCAAAATGAAATAATCACATATCATAAAATCTACCACCTTATATAAATTACCTAGTAAATCACATGCGTTTACGTACCTCTCATGAACAAAATAATTATAAATACATTATTTAAAAATGAGCACTAAATACTTACTACAAAATCTATGATTTAAAACTAGAGAAACACGCATACTGAAGTAGTACGTGATAAACCAGCGAAACAAATTAGCAGTGTCCGATTGCCATACAGTGTACTCCTTCTTGCGCCTGTCTTATTCAGTACTCCAATAAAATGCACCAGTAGTACTTGATATTTTAATTTAATAATAAGAAAAACAATGTCAGCTGGAAAATATCAAATTAAATCGATGTTCTATTGTTATTCTATACGTCAACCAATCACATTGCAAGGACATAGGGTGCGTTGATTTAGGTATACTACATTGTTCCAATACGAGTAAATTTCATGGAAAATCTTTACAACCGCGACAATTACGAAGGTCCACGTTAAAATTAGTAAGAGTGAATTTGGGCCACACCAACAATATATACCAAACGTCGTCATAAATTAATTTCCCTTACATAGGGAACAATTGGGCCGGAATAACGACTGGATGACCTATGGGTCGGGGTTCGAGTTCCGGTAGGGGCAAGAATTTTCACTTCTCCTTGTCGTGCAGACCGGCTCCGTCCAGCCTCTTATCCAATGGGTACTAGGGCTCCTTCCCCGTTCCCCAGTGGTAAAGCAATCGGTGTGTGAAGCTGACCACTCACTTCCAACTAGTGCCGAGGTCAAGAAAACGTGATCTACACACGCACTCCTCTGTGTCTACATGACGTAGTGCTTAATTAGTTAAGCTCAGGGTCCTCACCTTTTTTTATGTAAGGAGAAACATGGAATATAAACCTATCAAGGTCAGGTTTTTTTTCCTTCAAATTTTTGTGAGTGCAAATGTAATATTTATGGGTAATACGGATGCAATATCATCCAATTATCTCGTTATATTATGCAAACGAGAACTCCATGCTTTCATTTTTAATTTGAATATTTTTTAAATAAACTAACTCCCATATTTATCACACTCTTAAAAAGAGATGTATTACAGTGCTGTACATGAAAATTTAATTTTGTTCATCTGTTATAATTATGAATGTCTAAATTTATTGCCATAAAAGCCTTGTATTTTTTGATAAAGCATGTCACCTCTAATATATACAGGGAAGGCAATGTTAAAACATTGTAATCTTTAAAAATTTGTCTACATGATGTGCGATTACTAATACCACTAATCACTCGAAGAACCCGCTTTTGCACTCTCCCCATCCCCACCCCACAATAAGATACCATTTCTCATACATGACTCAAAATTCGAAAAATAAATAACTTTTATCATATATGGACTCATTATTTCTTTTAATATTTTCACCATATAAATTACTTTGCATAGCTTTGCTTTTAGAAATTGAGCATGAGCACAGCATTTTAGGGTTTGTCATGTGATTTCCAAGAAATCTCAGTTCTGACTGATATACTATTTCTGTAGTCTAGGGGTAACGTTCCCACTTCATGACTCAAGGTACGTGGATTCAAACCTGGCGGAGGTCGTGGAATTTTTAAGGGCGGAAAAATTCAGGGAACAAGTCCTCCGGGAGGGACTTTAAGCCGTGGGTCCCGTGTCGTAGATTTACGGCACGTAAAAGAACCTCATGTCTGTAAGAGGCCTCTGAGCTAAATTTGGCAAGAAGTTTCCCGCCCAAAGTAGTTTCCAATGCCTCCGGTATATGGGGAAGTATTGGGTACCACTGCCAGAGGAAGGGGGAACTCTCTGACAGAAAGGGGCTAATAGCGAGCACCAGTACTGGTAGGGTATTGAGACAGTAGAAATTAAAAGGGGGATATACAATAGACTATCAGTCACGGTGCATGGGGAAACCCACCCCCTCAATACTGAATAACTGATATACTGTTTCTGTATTATTAAAAACTACTTTTGGTCTTAACGGATCTCTCAGCTGTTTTGAATGAAATGACATGGCAGATGTCTTCTTCCTAATGGCATATTCTAAGGCAAAGTTGAACAGGAGTGGCGCTAAAGCATCTCCTTGTTTTAGAGCATTCTGGATAGGAAATTTATCAGACAAATGTTTACCTACACGGACTTTACTATACATTTCATTTAACACATTTTAATCAACCTAACTAGTTTCATGGGTATCCCAAACTCTATCAGAATATTGTACAGTACTTCCCTCCTAACTGAATCATAGGCTTTCTTGAAGTCTACGAATAGCTGATGTACTGTCTCATCGGACTCCCATTTTTTCTCCAATATCTGACGAATGCAAAAGATCTGATATGTAGTTGATCTGTTACATCGAAAGCCACACTGATGATCCCCAATAATTTCATCTATATATGGACTTAACCTTGAAAGAAGAATATTGGACAAAATTTGATATGATGTTGATAGCAGTAATATCCCCCCATAATTACTACAGTCAGTCTTATCACCCTTCTTGTGAACTGGTAAAATAATAGACTCCATCCACTGATCAGGCAATTTTTCCTTATGGCAAATAGAAGTAATTAGATTGTGGATCTTAGAAAGTAATATTTCACGTCCTGCTTGAATAAGTTCTGCCGAAATTTGATCACTACCTGGCAATTTATACAGTTTCCATTTTGCAAAAGCACTTTCAACCTCAAAAGGCCTAGGATCACGTATTAACGGCTTAGCTGTATGGATTTCTGTCTGCCTAACATCACTGACCCTATGTACATTCAATAACTGAGATAAGTAGTTCCTCCACCTATTCAAAATGTTGTGGGAATCTGCAAGCAGATCACCATGGTCATCCTTCACTAAGTTACTGCTAGGCTGGTAACCCCTCTTAAAGTAATTTATTCCTCTATACAGGTCTCTAATGTTCTTGTTCTTACTGTTAATTGCAAGCTCATCAATCTTGTCTACCAGATATTCCTTCTTTTTGCTCCTGAAATGCAAAACTGAATATATAAAAAAGAAAACTAATGTAATAATTTAGCCTTCACCACTGTATTGTTGTGTTTTGATGGACTTAATAAAGAATTGTAATAAAACACAACAGATAACAAATTAACAATAGTAATATGTTTCTTTCCACATTGCAGACAATAACTACATAAACATACTTGTGATCTATAAAACAACAGACGAAGACCAATGCCGCTATGCATTATATCAAAACAGAGATGTTTTAAACTATACTGTGTGCATGGATGAAGATGCCCGAAGTGGAATTTTGAAACTGGAAAATTTTTATTGAAAATCCATTTTATTTAAATCATTTAATACTGCATTCACATGTGATAAGAAAGGTGGATATATTCATACAGTGAAACACTTTTGACGCATCAGAAGCACCTGACAATGGCTATCTGTGGCTGAAACACGTTGTGAGAGGAAGGAGAGATAGAAATAAGTTGCATTGTTGACGGAGTATATTGTGTGTAATAAATGATATTTAATGCAACAAGATGTTTAAAAATAGTAATATTCATGCGGCTTTATTTACACCTTAGAAACAATTGAAAAATCTTCTGAATTACAATCAGTCAAGTTCATCTATGTTACAACTTATTGGCACAAGCTCATGGGAAGTAGATCCAGCGCTGATGTAGGACATGCCCTGTCCTGTGATCTGCCTTCCAAGCGTCAGACGTGCCCCTCCATCTAGAACATGTGAATAACACCTCAGATCAAAACTAAGATTAAATATAACAGGGTGACCTGTCAATCACCTTGGGTATAGGAAAAAATTGCACCTATGACAGATGAAATGGAAAATAGGAGAAACTACACAAAAGGGAGAAAAATATGGCAAATAAATATATATAACTCACAGAGAAGTATGATTACGATCTTATGGGATGTGATGATGTGTACTTCAACAGACAGGTACCTAAATATGAAACTACATGGTGTCCCTCTGCGGGACCCTAATTTTCATATTCACTATCGTAAGAACCCATAATCTATCACAGGCTACAGAAGAAGTAATCGTTTTCCAGGGTTTTAAGAGTGGATAACAATTTAAAACATCATCATTGAAACAGCAGCGGCACACAGCAGAGCAGTTGGTTGAGGCACTATACTACAAGCCAGAAGGTCACAGGTTTGATTCCCAATGAGGTCATTGGATTTTTCAATTGACCTAATCCTTTCAGGCACACTCAGTCTCTAACAGAAATAAGTATCAGGAATCTTCTGGCGATAAAGAGTAGCCGGTGCGTAAGGCTGATAACCTCACTGCCATCTGTGAGCCGACTGTCTAGCCTCAACCTCTCACAACCCTATGGGCCTCCACTACATACGAGGGCTGGAACTTTAATAGTGGTAACACTGCTGTAGAGACGCCATGCAATGGAACCAAATGATGTCGCTTATGCCACACGTTAGTTACATACCTACCTTACCTCAGAGCAAATGGACTCTCCCTTCCCACATCATGCGCATGCGCAGTGACGAGAAGAACAGAGCCTCGTGTTAGCTGGCGGTCTAATGTACTGCTGTCACGATGTTTTCGAAACAGGAACAACGGAGTTGGATAAAGATTGAATGTGCCAGAGGCTGTACAGCACGACAGTGTCATCAAGGTCTTCAAGAGGCTTGCGGGAAATCTGCATTGCCTTACAGAACAGTGGCAAGGTGTGTATAAGCTCTCAACGAGGGGCGCCAAAATGTGGCAGACATGCGTCGGCCAGGTCATCCTAGTATCAGCGAAGAAGAAGTGTATGCTCTTTCTGCATTACTGGAGAGTGATTGACGCCATATGATTCGTGAGCTGGCCTGAGAGACAGGATTAGCGCATATGACTGCTTCACATTCTGAAGGAAAGCCTGAGCATGAGAAAAAAGCATCACGATGGGTTCTGCATTATATGACCGAAATGCAGAAATGGATATGATACGACGCTGCTCGTAACCATTTGGAGCACTAGTAGCATGAAGGAGAGGCTTTCTTACATTGTATAATTACACTGGATGAGACATGGGCCAAATCGTACGAGCCACAAATGAAACACCAATCAAATGACTGGCATCATTATGGGTCACCACAAAAATCAAAAGTTCGTCAGAACCACAGCAATGTGAAAGTTATGGTGAATCTTGTGTACGACTGTCATGGCGTTATCCTAAAACATACCGTTCCCCGACAGCAGACCATGAATTTTGGGGGGGGGGCTTAAACAAACAAAAAAGTAATTTTCTGAGATAATGATGTAAATTATATACCATTTAAAGCATGATCGTTATGTAAATTTCCAAAATGGAAGCCTCCTGCAACACAAACTGTAACACAGTCAAAATAATACATGGTACTGGCAATGGTCCTGCATACAGTGGCAACCAAATGCTAGTGCCCATGGGCAAGAGGGGTAGTATGCAGATTACTTTTCATTTTTCTAACAGGTTTTTGTACCTAAAACAAAATTATCACACTTCTCTAATATATACATAATCTTTCTCCCACTTTCTGCAACTGTTACAAATTATTTAGCTATCCTGGAAAGGTCTGCACGAACTTCATATACTTCCATGGAAGTCACTGTTTAATCAGGCTTTCAGTATCTCACATGATGTAGCATCAACTGGTAGGATCGTTAATAGATAATGAATTGGAAAAGATGTGGAAAGTACCTGCAGTCTAATTAAGACAGTTTCCCAACATTTGCCTAGTATGACAAAAACTAAAATGCTGAGAATGATAAACTTAGGAAAACATTATGTGGCCCCCTGAAAAAAAAATAAAAATAAAACACACACACGCATTACATAAGTAAAGTCATAACTGAATCAATATGGGCATAGATGAATTCAGTACAGGAACTCTTTGCTTCCTCAGCCGCTTTAAACTAGCAGCCATGAGAAATATAAAAAGTAAGCTAGTGCAAGGAAGGAGGGAGACAGATCGTTTGATTTTGTGTTGACTGCTGTCACGGTGAAACAGCAAGTTACTGCAACTGAGCACAACAAACTTTGCACTCCCCTACACAGCAGATCCCCCTTTTCCACAGGGAGAAGGCTGTGTGGAAGTAGAATGATGATGTCTCACTGTATGTCACAATCTAGTGAAGAGCCTAAACAGGGCTTGATACCAAGACAACATGGGTTCGCTGGGGGAGCCACTCATAAGGTAGCCATCACCACGGTAATGGAGGTAGTGGGAGTACAATTTTGTTCCAGCATCACTGCCATAACAGGAGAATACACTGAAATCTACTTTTTAAAACAGGCTGCAGGCATTTTACTGAAATAAGACAAAAAGGAGGACCACTCACTCACTCATGGAGCTGAGCCCTTCTTGAGAAGCTACCAATTGTTCAGCTACTCAAGAACTTCCCAGCATTTTATGGAACCCGAAGGTTCATTACCATGTACACAAGAGCCCTCCAGTGGTACCTATTCCATGACAGATTAATCCAATCCGTACCACCCCATCCTATCTCTCTAGGATCCATTTTAATATTGTCCACCCACCTACATCTTTGTCTTCCTAATGGTCTCTTTCCTTCTGACTTTCCTACCAATATCCTAGTACATGCATGGCTTTTTTTTCCCATTCATGCTACATGCCCTGCCCATCTCATCCCCTTTGGCTTGATCATTCTAATTATACTTGGAGAAGAGTACAAGTTATGAAGCTCCTCACTATGCAGTTTTCTCCAACCTCCTATCACTTCATCCAATTTTNGCTCAACACCCTGTTCTCCAACAACCTCAGTCATTGTTACGTTGGTCCCTTGTCACCACGGCATGGTGCGTCCTCAGGTTGTGGATGGATGAGACACCCTCTAGATATGGAGGGTAGTTGTGAAAATATTGAGTAAGCAGTCATGGACAGCAAACAAGGGGTGGTCCTCCAGCTTAACAGCTCCTCACCATAAAAAATAATCTTCTTACAAAAGATCACAAAAGGAGGACCATCTCTTATAAAATCTGTAGGATGGAATTCTATCGACACCACACTGCTGAGATCTGGTTCTGAGGAAGCAGGAGGCAGATTAAGGAGTAAGAAATTAACAGAATCTCGGACCACAAGAAAACTTTGTAGAAATTCTGAGTTGAGTTACAGCAATTATAAAATGTCAAGACCAGTCTGAAGACAGGGAAATGAAGATGTGCTATATATAACTCCATAAAGGAAAGTTCTTCTTGAAAAGCCAGTAGTTGCTCAGCTAGTCCAAGAAATTTCCTGATGGTCCATAACAGCATTCAGAAGAGCTGAAAACTGTCCCTATCTTGAGTAAGACGAATCCAGTTCCATCCAATTTCTTTGAGATCCATTTTAATATTATTCTTGCATCTCCTCCTAGCTCTTCCATATGGTCTTCTTGTTTCAAGTGTCTATATCCATAGCCCATGAAGATGTTCTTTTGGGAGATGAAAAAAGTGAACTGACCAAAGAAAGCTAAAGAGAACGGAGGAACAGACTGAACACAACTGCAGTTGGTAAAGTCATAAGAAGACAGAGGATAATATAAATAGATTTGTTAAATGACAGCATGAGCACAGAAGACGTTATTTAGTTGATGGCTTGGTGTCATGTGAGGACAAAGTACATACTACAACTACTATTATACTGAAATAAAACTTACGGTTTGGTGCTCCAAACTGACGTGTAGTAGTACCAAACAACCCTGTGCCAGAACTACAGGTTGTAAGCTGAAAAAATTGATCCCTGCGTCTTGAGTCACGCATATCCAGATTTGACCAAGACACCCGTTGTGAAAATCTTCCTTGAGAGTGTCTTGTTTCTGACTGTGGTGTCCAACCTCCCCGCTGATGGGTGAACCTTGTAGTACCAAAGAACCCTGTGCCGGAACTACAGGTTGTAAGCTGAAAAAATTGATCCCTGCGTCCTGAGTCACGCATATCCAGATTTGACCAAGACACCTGTTGTGAAAATCCTCCTTTAGAGTGTCTTGTTCCTGTCTGTGGTTTCCAACCTCCCCGCTGATGGGTGAACCTTGATGCTTATCCAAATGGACACTTGGTAGGGTCACATGTTGGAAATGGTCCGAATCTTGATAGGATACACCGAGTATCATCCGATAATGCAGGTGACCATGGTACTGAAGACTGTCCTGTTCCTGGCTGTGGTGTCCAACTGCTACCAAATATTCCACCATTGGCAGAATTAGAAGCGTTAGGAACATTCTGAAAGCAGTTTATATTTCTTTCCGTGGGAGCCATCATATTTGATGAACTTGGAATTGTTTTGATTAACAAAGATGTCCCTGGAGATGTTACTGATCCCAAGGGTCCAAACTTTATATCTGCAGCACTGGTAATTGGCACTGCAGGAGAAACATCATTATGTGCCTGGGTCGAGGTGTCTGCAGCAACAGGCTCTATTTCCATACTGGATGTGACACATGTTTCTACATTATTTGTAATTACTGTGGCTCCACTTGCTGCCGCTGCTGCCACTGGGTGGACCATGCTTGGGAAACGTGGTCAGAGCAGTTGAGGCAGGAGCCTCATTGGCAGATAACAGTGTCTTTAGGATATCATCTGTAGAAAGACCAAGAATGATACAATTCATAAACACAAATTATATTACAAGCCACACCCTCATCGGCTTTCTTGTATCATTCTATTATAGAGAATGTCCATAAGACATCTTCACAATTTGATTCTTTTGTTACTCATAGAAGGTTTAGGGCACTGCTAAGAAATATAACACTTGAAATGTAAACTCAAAAAGTGTTATGAAATCTAATAATTTGAACATGATTATTGTGTGTAGCTTGAGCAATATCCTGCCACACCTTTTGGAGGATAACATGATCAGTTTTTGCACAGGCTTCTGTGATTAGTATCTTGAACTCTTTTAGTGCTGTTAGCAATGGAAGGACATAGATACTGTGACATGTCCGCTCAAAGCCAGAATTGCGGAGCCTGAAGAGACTGTTCCTGGGGGGGGGGACTGGTTTTGAGCCACAAGAGGTTGATATCAAGACGAAATGATTAGTGATAAACTGCTATTGGCAATATAACTCTGACTAGTTAGCCAGTACAAGCATGAGGTTGCTGTGCGACAGATGCCCCCTGGCAGAGATGAGGGCGCAGAGGAATTGGAAGCTGTTATATAGAAAGCCCTATTGAGATAGTAGCAAAGCAACGTCTAGTGAACCTGTGGATAACTGAGGACAGTAGTGTGTGTACAAGAGATTTGTGTGAAAGTGCATGAGTTGTGCAAAAGTCTACTAAATCCAATTACCAATCAAAACCCCATGTCTAGTCACTAAATATGTGAAATTATTGCCCTTAACTAACATCAAGAAGAACAATCCATGGGTGTGAGAACTGGTGATTTAATATTTAACACCAAAATTTCTGTTGCACTGTCACAATAAATCTCATTTCATGAAAAAGTAACACACAAAATTACTTCTTTGAAACAGAGACATTTTAAGATACTAATGAAAGCACCTCTACCTAGCAGCCAGAATGTGTAGCAGGCTGTAGCCAAAATGCCAAGCTGATACTTTCTAAACTAATCTTTCCAGCTGATATATATTTGAACTCTATCTTAAATGCGCTCCAAGTAATAAAAGATTAAAAACAGAAAGACAGTTTACAGACTCTTTAAATTCTCAAAACTCGTGTAACATGCAACATTAATGGGTTACATTCACAAAACATGCTTTAAATTGGGCTGAAGCACCTGTAGCAGGCCGTGAAAAGCAAGTACACAAGCTGTAATCTAGAAATAACACACCCAATTCAAAGAGTAACATAGAAGAACATGTCACATACATCCCCCAGTTATAACAGCAAGCACAGACCTCAGACAAGTCTCTCTGTCATAGGTTTGTGTTGCCTTTAATACCACCACAGTGTACAACACAGAATCTGTTCTCTTGTCCAGAACAGCAGCAAATTTGGACAGAAACTTACCTGCCTTGACAGTCTCAGACTTGTCAGTTGATCTGCCATCTGCCCCACAAGAGGAAAGTGTTGTGGTGGTGGCATTCGCGATAGGGGTATGACTGGATGATGTAGTTGCCACACTTTCACTTGTCTTCAAAATGTGAGCTGCATCCCCAAGGCTTTCACGAGATTTTTTAGGCGGTTTGCCCAAGACAGGAGTACCACTATATGACCAATCTGATTGTAAGAAATGTATAATGTTAATCATTTGAATACAAAACAATATAAGCACATAGCTTCATTCTTACAGCAATCTAATAAATGTTAAAGGTAAAGACAAAATTGTCCCATTACTAAATTAAGAAACATGCCATGAAGATGTAGAGGGCATGGAAATATAGCTCCATGCATTTGTAACATAACAGATGAAGTGGCAGGGCAGGTTTCTGCCACTGGC